TTTAGCCTGGGAGACGGAGGTTACAGTGAGCCAAGATCACGCCACTGCACTCCAGCCTTGGTGTCAGAGCAAGACTCCATCTCCAAAAACAAAAAAACAAAAAAACAAACAAAAAAAAACCTCTGTATCAAAAAAATTCCTCTGTTTACAACATGTGGCACTTTTTCTTAAGAAAGTTCTGGCATTCGCAGATATTGGTTACCAGCAATATTTATTACTAGTAATAGTAGATCATTTATTAACCTCTCTTATCCTGAAGAGGTAACCATAGACCCCCTGACTGACTACTCTTTGTTTTCTCTCCAAAACATACACAACCAACATATATACATACATTCAGAATGTTTTCACCTCTTACCAACAAGAAATGAAAACTAGAATCATAAGGAAAATTAATTTGTTCATCTGATCAAAAGTGAAATCACAAATGCCAGGCAATGATTGTGTTCCACCCTATTGGGAAGTTTTAAGGGTCCATGGCTGAAAATAAAGAAATAGGATTTCCTGGGATTTAGAGGAATGGGTTGAAGCCAGATCATGGAGTCAAGGCTTGCCTAGGCTCCTATCTCTTGAGAGGCTCATGGGCACCAACATTTAACCTATATTCAACCACATTGCCCCAAACCACGCCAATGGATAGATTTACCTTTCTTGATGTCAGTTTAAACATATTAAGACCTGCTTATGGGGTAATCAATTACAACACTAACTCTGTATAGTCAAATAAAGAATATTTCCAGTTTTCCTCTCTGTCACCTCACACTTTATCATCTCTGGAAGGGAGGCAGCCATTGACAATATTATCTCAGGCCCTGAGCCATCACAAAAGCAAACTCAATTGCCCTATTTTTTTATTATTTTTCCACTAACTCAGTACTAGCTCTGACTAAACTTACAGAAAAATAAAAACCAGGTAAAAATGGCATCATGTCCTCACAATACTATGAGTTTTGGGAGAACTTTTCAATATTGGTAACTAAAAATACATTAGCTGACTAATGTTAGTCATTTTATCTCTATTCTTCCTGGAAAACCAGTGCAGCTTTTAGCTGTCCAATTTCCTCTTACTGGTTGAGAAGGAGATATGCAGTCCAGTATTTGTCTAAGGAGCTTGCTAAGTTTCCCTTCTTATATTGAGCTCCTGAATCTCACCACTGTTGCACTCTTTTGAAAGCTGTCCTTCCCTCAAGTGTAGCAGAATCCAATATAATTAAGGAAAATTAAAGAAACAGTCCAATGAATACATTCATGTTAACATTTAGTCAGGGAAAATTCACAGCAATGTTTAAAGAGAATAGCATAAGCTATGTTATTACTATTCACGAGTGAGTAATTAAGCAAAAAATTACACTAATCTCTAAAGGCTAGAATGAAACCCGAGTTGATTACAGGTCAACAAAATAGAGCTCTTGCCTTAAAGCATGATTCTTCCTTTTAATAACTATTATTTGAGTATGTCAGCATACCACACTGTGGAAAAAAAAACAAAAGCAAATGTGGTAAGAGTTCTACTCTTAGTGATTTTACAGTCAAGGAAAGAGAATCAGATAAACACCAGTAATATAAAATGCATACATAACAGTGCAACCCTAAAACCTTACCTTATATGCTTATAATGAATATTAAGTGACTGCATATTTATACAATGTTTAAAACTGTCTGGCATACAGTAGTAAGAACCATATAAATGCTCATTAAGTACATAAACAAATGTATACCATGTATATGCCATAAGCCAGGCACAGTCAAACACGATATAAAATTAGAGATAGAGAAGAAATAGTTGAAAAGATCTGGCATGATTCCGTAAAGAAGGGGACATATAATGGATGAGAAAAATGACAACAGAATTGTGAAAGGATGTTATTAAAGCAAAAGGAGAAACCATTAGCCCAGGCATGGAGTTAAAATAAATTCAGGAAATAGTAAATAGACCCAGGTGACATGAATGTAGGGTGGAAGATTGGTCTTTAAAGCAAGTTAGGCAGTAATTGGATGCAGAAAATGTTTTTGTAATATTTGTTAGCATTATAAGTTTTGGTGATAGTAAAGTAAAGAAAATCAAACCTTTTTTTTTTTTTTTTTTTTTTTTTTGATTGCTCTTGTTGCCTAGGCTGGAGTGCAATGGCACAATCTTGGCTCACTGCAACCTCCATCTCCCAGGTTAAAGCGATTCTCCTGCCTCAGCCTCCCTAGTAGCTGGGATTACTGGCGCCCATCACCACACCTGGCTAATTTTTCTATTTTTAGTAGAGACGGGGTTTCCCTATGTTGGCCAGGCTGGTCTCGAACTCCTGACCTCAGGCAATCCACCTGCCTCAGCCTCCTAAGTGCTGGGATTACAGGCGTGAGCCACTGCACCTGGGAAAATCAAATCATTTTTGAAGTCATCAACTTATCTTACTAAAGTCAGGTGTATAGCTAGGTAATGGTCACAAAGAAGTCTCATATACAATCTCAATAATGATTATTGCTATTTTGCTACTCTTATAGAGATAAAGAATACTTGATATTGATGTAGTTTTTTATGTTCAAGTTGGCATGCTTAGTCTAAAGCTGTTGATTAGAGATTTAACAATCTGGTTAGCTAACAGTTTCTTGGAACTTTGTCCTTGTTCACTCCTTTCCATTATCAAGTCTATGGAGTAATTCTTTGTAGACAAGGGTCAACTCTCAGTTTTATTTTTTTAGAGATGAAATTCATTTTCTCTGTTCTTTCCCTAGCTCAAGACTTTCTCTGCTGGTAGACTGAGAACTGATTAGGAGCAGAGCCCATTACATTCATCCTTATAGCCCTGGCCTCTAGCACAACATCATGTAGTAAATCCTTATGGACTGTGACTTAGATTGGATGGATTGGGTTGGATTGTATCAGAGTAAATAAGGAATAAAACATGTCCCTTTATTATAATTTTAAAACACTGTCTTATTTAGGCATAAAGTAAAAAGTACATAAAATTACATTTATTATTTATCTCAAATGGTCCTTCTTTCCATCAGTTTTTACAAACTGTCTTAGATAGATACTACTATAAACAGCCTATATCTCCATCAGATAGATTTGGTTAGAAACTGAAAGTGATTTCATCATAGTAGGCTGATAAAATATGATGAATGCATTTCATCAAGATATCCAACTTAGAGTAATACTAATTGAAATCGCAAGCCTTTAAATAAACCTGTTTAAAAATCATTCATCATGCATGTTGCTAAAAATCTTTCAGATCCCTGAAAACTTATAGAAGCAATATATGAGACTTACCGTGCAATTAGTTCTTTTTAAGAGACAGATAAAAACTAATATCCTGCACCAGATTGATGTAATAACTAGATGAATACATTTATTAATTTACATCCTGGGAAAAGACCCTTGAAGTCTAAATAATATGCCACATTTAGTTGTCAAGCAATGATTTCTACCAACTAGCTGAGTATCACTTTAAAAGGATCACCTTGTAACAAAGGGGTGCTGTTACAAAGTTCACACTCCTGAAATTTTTACCGATGCTGTTACAAATGACAGTTTTAGTAGTTTCCTGGAAATGAACAGCTGCCTATAGATGTGTCACTTTATTTGTCTATTTATTGCATAGAAAACAATTCGAAAGTAGAAGTAAAGTAGAAAAGATAAAAATAACTTAAAATGTATTATATAAGTTAATATATATTATGTATTTGAATACCTTTCCAGTCACCTTAATACTTTCACAGTAATTGGGAAAGTCTTCTAAATGAAAATTACATTTGGTCTAATGTATCTGAAATAATAACCATGTTATTGGTATCAGAAGAAATTTTCTAAAGAAATTATCAGTCATGTGATTCAACAAAGAGTACCTAGAATCTGCGTGGTTATGCCTTCAGCTCTCATTTGTTGATAGAAGTTCTATTTCATGAGTTAGGTGACTTTCATGGAAAAAATATATGTTCTCTCTCTCTGGATTGAGTCTCCTTTTACTTTTTTCTTTTTATGTCAGAGGATGTGAGTCTAAGAAGCATTCTGTTGAGCTGCAGCAATGATTCATAAGAAGAAAACAAAGTGTTTTCTTTTTTTTTTTTTTTTTTTTTTTTGAGATGGAGTCTCGCTCTGTCGCCCGGGCGGGAGTGCAGTGGCCGGATCTCGGCTCACTGCAAGCTCCGCCTCCCGGGTTCACACCATTCTTCTGCCTCAGCCTCCCAAGTAGCTGGGACTACAGGCGCCCGCCACTTCGCCTGGCTATTTTTTTGTATTTTTTAGTAGAGACAGGGTTTCACCGTGTTAGCCAGGATGGTCTCGATCTCCTGACCTCGTGATCCGCCCGTCTCGACCTCCCAAAGTGCTGGGATTACAGGCTTGAGCCACCGCGCCCGGCCAGTGTTTTTCTTTTAGACTTTTAAAACCAGAGACTATGAAGATTCGAGAATATTTTTTTCAAACATAAAACTGTAGAATAAGCCAGGCATAAAAGGGTACATATGGAATGATTTCATTTATGTCAAGCTCAGAAACAGTCCCAGCTAGCCTATGATCTTGTCATGGTAGTGATCCTCTTTGCAGAGACGTGGGGGAAGGCTTCTAGGGTGTTGGTACATGGTGTGTTTCTGGATGTGGGTGCTGGTGACCTGAGTGGGTTCAGTTTGTGAATAATCATTAGCAATTTATTTATCCTTTGTATCTATGCTATATATCAAGAAAAAAAATCCAAAATAAACAACAGGAATGAAAAGCATTCAGATTTCCTTTTCCTAATTCCCATAGTATATTCTGAAGGGGCTTATATTAGTCACAGATCGCAATAGTCCTGTTGTCCAAAATCACAACACTACTTAGCAGCAGACCCAGAACTGGATAATGGACCATCTGGTTCCATGCCGTGTGGCTTTTGTTTTGGGTTTTTTGCTTTGTTTTGTTTTAAATCACAAGCTGCCCTAACCTCTAAGACCCATGACAGTGACACAGTCTGCTAGCAGGAAGCCTGTTGACCTTTTTCTATGAGCTAACACTGTTTGCCATGTTGCAGGTGAGTTGTGTGAGGAGAAGCTGGACTTCTGTGCCCAGGACCTGAACCCCTGCCAGCATGACTCAAAGTGCATCCTAACTCCAAAGGGATTCAAGTAAGTCCAAAGCTGCCTTTTTGCTCACAGAGTAGGGGACGCATTATTTTAGAAACCCTTCTCCATCCTTAGCTTCACACCTCTGCTGGGGATAAAGGGACCTATTCACTAGTATCAATGACATTTTTTAAATGTCCATATACAATATGGACTTTTTTTTTTTTTTTGAGATGGAGTCTCTGTCTGTTGCCCAGACTGGAGTGCAGTGGTGCGATCTGGGCTCACTGCAAGCTCCGCCTTCCGGGTTCACGCCATTCTCCTGCCTCAGCCTCCCGAGTAGCGGGGACTACAGGCACCTGCCACCACGTCCGGCTAATTTTTTATATTTTTAGTAGAGATGGGGTTTCACCGTGTTAGCCAGGATGGTCTCAATCTCCTGACCTCATGATCCGCCCGCCTCGGCCTCCCAAAGTGCTGGGATTACAGGCGTAAGCCACCGCGTCCAGCCGTGGACTTTTTGTTTAGTACACTAAAGAAAAATGAAAAAGTGTTTCCTTTTCATCTATGATTTTTTTTGTGAAGTCACCTATGGCAATAAGCAGCCTTTGAAAATGCTTGCTTGATTTTATTTGAAGGCCCATCTGGTGACATTTGTAATATCTTCTAGTTGCTTCATTGTCTGAAGGTAAGTCTGTGGTAAAATAGAGAATTTGATTTTAACGTAATTGAAGATGTTACGGTCTGAAACAATAATTTGGCTATCCAAGGTGAGAAAGATAGAGTGACCATATATCTCAGGCTGCCCCAGGGAGTCCCAGGCTATGCCTGTGATGATTGCTGTTATTATTGATAGTGCCTCTTCCAACTTAAATGTTTTTTGCATAAGGTGACAAAGCATTATAATCCCGCTAAGCGTACTCCCTCAAGTGAACACAGAACTTCAAAAATCACTTCTTTTTGCCTCCCCAGCAATATTCCTGAAATATGTTTGCTTTCAAATTATGTGATTTCTTTGCCACCATCCGGAAATGTTGTAAGGGTCTTTCAACAGCACTTCTCTTGTTAGGGCTGGCAGTAGTTAGAGAGCATCTAGTCCAAATTCTTCATTTAAACATGAGAAAACCATGGCCCAGAGAGGTTAGTTGACTGTCCAGAGATCTTAAGATTATGTATTGGCAGAGCTAGAGCTAGGATTTATACTTTCCAGTTGGGTGATTTTTCTACTATGTGTTACCTATAAGAAGTTTCAGAGTTTATTAACATTACAGCTGGTATTGTATAGCAAATAGGCTGGATTCTTAGGAATTACACAGTCGGGTACAGGGGTTGAGCTGTGCTTTCATCGGACAGCCAGCAAACAGCATTATTTGTTCCTTCAAGCAATATTTATTGAGTGCCTGCCATGGCCAGAGCACATGGTAATAATACCATCTTATGATTTTGTAGTCCTTTATAGCTATTCGCCTTCACTTATTTCATCTTCTTAGTGAAATGACCCAAGCTCAATTGTCATAGAATCCAGAGAATTAACAATTACACAGGTCAGGATGAATTTTACAAGAGAAGATAGGATTTGAGCTGGATTGCTAAGATATTTGTACTTACCAAACAGATCATCAGATATTTTAAGTTGAGTGGGAGATTGGGGTCAGAATTGCCAGATCTCCACTGCTTTTCAAATATCAATCTAATTAAATATTTATTCTCAAGCTTTCTTTTGACAGTGTGCTTTTGCTTTAATTTGGTTTAAAATCCAAACATTAGAATATGTAGGTATAGTTGTAGCACCTGCTAATTCCCTACGATGTCTTTTTGAAAAAGGAAAAAATAAATTTGATTCTATTTTGCATTATATTTTAGTTTACAACCCTAGGCAAAAACCCAGTGTTATTCCATTTTCACTTTATACAAAACTTTACATTATATTTTATTCAACCAAACACTGTAGGTAAGTTGTTTTTAGTCTTCATATCAATGATACACTCACAATTTAATTTGGCAAATTGAAAACACATCACTTACATAATAAATATCATTTCTTAGAGAAATTAGCTAGTAAGGAAAGTTTTCCAGAACTGCTCATCTGCTGAGCAGATTTCACAGTACTTTTGTGCATTGTAAGTATAAGATAAAGTATTAGTAAGACTTAATTGAAACCATTAAAAGAAAGTGAGTTTGTCTGCAAAAAGACTAATCCTTAATTAAATATCTCCTCTCACTATCAAATAGATTAGACACCCTTAAAAGTGCATTTTGCTGTATTATGGACTAACTACTTTGGAAACCCACTGTTTTCAGTTGTAATTTGCGAGCTCGTTTCATAGCTATGTGTATGTAGATTAGCAGAAAACAGGTTAAGTCAGTGTGTGTGCTGTTACTCCCGACTTATAAATGATTGCACATTGTGGGAAAGGTAGCTGCAGAAAGAAAATAGACTTAAAAATAAAATGATGTGAAGCTGCTAAAGAAAATCTCTACTGAGAAATGTTGTTTAGACAAATTATACTATGTTACTTCAACTTCATTTTCTTATTGCTAAGCTAACAGAGCTGGTTTTACTTTTATTGCTTTATTATATACCTCATAAATCTCCCAAATTGCTTTGAGATATTTTTAGACTATGATACGCCATAACCAGTATTTTCAAACATGCATCTTACGTAGCCAGCTATGGGCTCCTAAACAGTGTATTTTGTATTCTTTGCTTCTTCCTCCTTCCTTGTCAGATAATAGAGTTGAAGGAATGTGATAGGTTTTATTGATAATACAAACTAAGGAATTCTTATTTAAATTTTTTCTTTCTGTTTTGAAACTCAGTCTGAGGAGCAAAAGAAAGACAAAAACGTTGGGCATAATGTAACTCCAAGCTCTAATGGTCTTGAAAAGTAGTATTTGGAGAGAAGAGAATATAAAATAGCTCTTAGACAGCCACTATGGTGGATGTGTGGTTCTCTTATCTTTCACTTTGATTTCTTTTTTCAGATAAATAATTCAGAGTGTTTCAAAGCATTTCTTCTTTCTTTTAATGCTTGGCACTTCAACAGCTCTGCTCACATTAACATTGATGGAAGTTCTCTTCTCGGGCCTTGTCCATCTCTTTGAGAATGTATATGACCACTTAGAGTCCATTTAACTTCAGACTTGTTGTTTACTTTGCTTTGTTATGATTTAGCATTAAAACCAACTGGCTGCAAAGCAAGCATGCTTATGCAGTGAGCTCATTTTATTTCTTAATTCATACATGCAGAGCTGAAAGTCTGTTTGCTACTCTTAGAGGCTATATACTCCCATTTGTTTTAATTCGTCCGCTCTCCAGCAACTCTCAAATCCTGATTTTGCATTTTCAGACAAAACCTTTGGCATTCAGTAATGCCACATTCCCTTGGGTGTTTTTAATTAACCTTACTTCAAATCCTAATAGCTTTGAAATAGAAAAGTGGATAATTAATACAGACTAAATCATAAAAACTTTTATAGAATTACAACGATGTATATAGAGAATTATTTTTAAAACCAGCCATTTATAGAACATGCATTATATATAAAAACTATACTAATTAATTTACAGATAGTTGCGTTTAATCTTTAAATAAACCTGTGAGGTGGAATTATATACATGTTAGAGATGAGGAAAAGAACACTTACAGAGATTAAGTAATTTAGTCAATATTATATACACTTTATGCTAAGTGAAATAAGCCAGACATAGTAAGACAAATACCGGATGATCTCACTTATGTGTGGAATTTTAAAAAGTCAGACTTACAGAAAAAGAGAGTAGAAGGGTGGTTACCAGGAATTGGGGTGGGGAAAATGGGAAGATGTTGGTCAGTGGCACAAATTTTCAGTTACAAGATGAATAATAAGTTCTAGAGACCTAATATCACAGCATGGTCACTATAGTTAATAATACTGTATTATATACTTGAAATTTGCCCAGAGAGCAGATCTGAAATATTTTCACCACAAAAGGAAAAGGGTAACTATGGGAGGTGATGGATATGTTAATTAGCTTGACTGTGGTAATTATTTCACAATGTATGTATGTATAAAACATCACCATGTACATCTTTAAAATATAAAGATTTTATTTTTCAGTTATACCTCAATAAATCTGGAATAAAATAAAGTTCATAAGGTACAATTAAGAATGAAGCCAGGGCACAAATGAAGTTCTGTAAAGCCTGAATTCTGCAAAGCCTGATTTCTGCACAGCTAAGTTTCGGTTTTCTCATATATACACACATATATACACTCATATATATACACATATACATACACATATATATACACACACATATATGTGTGTGTATATATGTGTGTATACATATATACACATGTACGTATATACACACACATATATACGTACACATGTATACACATACACATGTATATATGTGTGTGTATATGTACATGTGTATATATGTTTGTATATATGAGGAAACTGTAACTTAGCTGTGAAGAATTCAGGCTTTGCAGTTATGTGTGTATATATATATATATGTATGTGTGTGTGTGTGTATAGATATATGTAAAGTCAGTGAACCCTCTCTTAAATCAAAAACACTCTTGGAAGCCAGTGTGTAAGCCTAATAAATCACAACAGGAGAGTGTTGAGGAAAAGGTGGAGGGTAGAGGGAGGCTTCCAGAAGCCCCCTCCTCATTGAAGGCCATACCCGTAGGGATTCCATGGTCCCCTATAGGTCCACAATGCAGTTTGAAAACTGCTGCACGTGTCACACTGCCTTTCTCCACGCAGCTGTAAAGTCCTGCATCCTTGTTATCATAACCAGAAATCCCACTGGTCAGCACTGGAGAAGTACAAGTTTAAAGGGAGCCTCTGGAATTAATTATCCAACAGCATGGTGCAGTGGTTAGAGATACAAGCTTTCTTGTCAGATTGTTTGAGTTTGATTCCTGGCTGTGGCACTTAGAAGTTGAGTGCTTGGGGGCAACGTGCTTCACCTCTTTGTTCCTTAGTCTCCTCACCTATAGAGCAGACGAAATAATACCACCAATGTCACAGGACTGTGGAGAGGATTCAGTGAATCCATAGATGCCACATGGTTAGAGCAGGGCCAGAGAAAGTGCTCGGGGGAACGTCAGCTGTATTATTACTCTCGGTTCTTCACCATCAGTGCAGCCAAGACCCTTTGCCACCATGGTGAACAGGCTGAAAACTGTCCATGGGATTGGCCCCGTGAATTTTCTACCAGTTCTTCTATCCTAACCCATTATATCAGTCCTGTTCTTCTATAATGAGTATCTGGATTCATCGTGAATTAGGGTATTTAATATTAATATATTTGCTTTTCTTAAATAATACCTTGTTCTGATGTATCTAGTCTCTATTGTAAAATTAAAAATGTTAATCATGTTTTAAAATATGTTTAATATTCCCAGTACATTTTACAACATAGCAGTTTTATAATCTCAATGAGCAAATGTATTAGGCCAAACTGAAAATATAAGGCACCGTAAGCAAACAAAATGGGGAGAAAGAGAGGATGGAAGACGGAGGAGAGGGAGTGGGAGGGAGTGACCCTGCCACAATTATCCTGTTGTTATTTGGACTGTGGATATTCACTATTATCAAGGAGATAAAAATCACTATTTCTCTGGTAGATCACAGTGATAGAACATGGAATATACTGCAGAACAGTTCAATCTTCTAGGTATCCATTAACACGGGGGCTTTATGAGCCTATTCTAAATAAGTATTTTAAAGATGGTGCCATGTGTCTAGATAAAATGCATTGTTTACTTATTTTGGCTCAGTTGGGTTTGAAACCAGTACCTGCTTGTTCCAACAGATGTGACTGCACACCAGGGTACATAGGTGAGCACTGCGACATTGATTTTGATGACTGCCAAGACAACAAGTGTAAAAACGGAGCCCATTGCACGGATGCAGTGAACGGCTATACGTGCATATGCCCTGAAGGTTACAGGTAAAAGCAGAAATGAGTAAGACCTAGTGTTCAATAAGACCTAGAACAACAGGGTGACTATAGGCAGTAATAGTGTAATTGTACATCTTAAAATAACTAAAGGAGTATAACTGGATTGTTTGTAATGCAAGGATAAATACTTGAGGGGATGGATACCCCGTTTTACATGATGTGATTATTATGCATTACATGCCTGTATCAAAATACCTCATGTACCCCATAAATATATACACTTACTAGGTACCCACAAAAATTAAAATAAAAAAATTTTAAGACAAAAAACGTAGAAGTTATAGAAGCAAAGAGTAGAATGAGGATTACCAGGGAGGAGGACAGAGGGATGGTATTTGGGGAGATGTTGGTCCAAGGGTCCAAAGAGTCATTTAGACAGGTTGAGTAAGTTTGGAATATCTATTGAACAGCACAGTGATGATTTTGATTAATAGTTAAGAATACTTGAAAACTGGAAAAACAAGGAAGTGCACATACATAGTATACAGTTAGGTCATACAGCTCTCAATTCAGATTGGCAATTAAGTAAAATCGTATTCACATATTTTTTTTTTCTCCTTATTCTTCAGTGGCTTGTTCTGTGAGTCTTCTCCGCCCATGGTCCTCCCTCGTACCAGCCCCTGTGATAATTTTGATTGTCAGAATGGAGCTCAGTGCATCGTCAGAATAAATGAGCCAATATGTCAGTGTTTGCCAGGCTATCAGGGAGAAAAGTGTGAAAAACTGGTCAGTGTGAATTTTATAAACAAAGAGTCTTATCTTCAGATTCCTTCGGCCAAGGTTCGGCCTCAGACGAACATCACACTTCAGGTAAGAGATCTCTCTCTATGGAGAGTTCATCTGATCTGAAAATTCAACTTCAGAGAATAAACATTTGTGGTAGCTTGTGAATGATTGACAGTATATCTTAAATAGACAGTTAAAAACAGAAAATGCTCCTTGTGTGGACAGCGTTAGTAATTATTGTCTTCAACATTTGTATTTTCAAGACAAAATGAAAACCAAATATTTGTATTTATTCATTACTTGAGAAGCAGACAGTAATAAAAAAAAAAATGTCTCTTTGTTTTGTGCTCAGATAAAAACATTTTATTCATTTGCTTTGATGGCTCTGCAGTTCAGCCTGTGCACAGGGGGAGGCTTTTCTTAGGAAATCTGCAGCTAGGAAGGGTGCAGCCAAGAAAGAACACCTGGATTCAACCACCAGCACCTTTTTTTTTTTTTTTGGTTGGGGGGATGGAGTCTTGCTCTGTCACCCAGGCTGGAGTTCAGTGGCACGATATGGGCTCACTGCAACCTCCGTCTCCCAGGTTCAAGCGATTCTCCTGCCTCAGCCTCCCGAGTAGCTGGGATGACAGGCATGCACCACCATGTCTGGCTAATTTTTTTGTATTTTTTAGTAGAGACAGAGTTTCACCATGTTGGCCAGGATGGTCTCAAACTCCTAAACTCATGTGATCTACCCACCTCAGCCTCCCAAAGTGCTGGAATTACAGGCGTGAGCCACTGCGCTTGGCCAACCAGCACCTTTTAACTCTTCACCCAGAACTTTGAAGACTTGACATGAAATTAACGAACTCAAATTTTAAGTCTTTCCACCAACTCACTGTGTACCTTTGAGCAAGTCATTCAGATCCCTATCGAAGAAGCTGCGCTAGATTAAGAATAATAAATATAGTGTACATGGGACAAATTAGGTCTACATATTTGTTTTATCTGATAAGCAAAATCATTTAATATATTTTCAATTCAAATAACTTTAGTCAGCTTCCTATAAATGCCACCCCTGTTTTGGTTTATCCTGATACTCTAGTGAGGGACAGGGGGTCCTTTTGAAGTCAGGAAGAAGAGAATCCTGGAAGGCATGAGTCCCTACCTTCCAGTGTTTGCTCCACCAAATTGTTTTGAGAACCACACAGTGATGTTGGGGCTTAAGTCTTAAATTACCTAATTAATCCTTTAAAAGCCAAAATGGGCCAAAGAGCAGGATAAAAACAAAGATTTCCCCCTCCACATGGCATAACTGTGAAAAATTTGTGTTTTTTTTAAATATGGGACATAAAAATCCATCTTTGACAATGTAGTCATTTTTCACAGATGCTATAAATAAAGCTTATAACAGGAGCAAAAGGAGTGGTTTAGCAAAAATCTCCAGCAAAGAAAGTTCTAAGCACATCCAACATGTTTACTTGAGGATTTCTTCTTGTTCTTTTTAAGTTTCTTTATGGATTTATTTGCAACAAAGCAATTTAAGAACAAGTCACCTTTCAAGTAATAATTTCAGCATTATTTTCTCATAGCCATCCGGAAAACATAAACCAGAGTAAAACCTCTTCACCTCACTTAGCAGTCCCTTTCTGATGAAATACGTCTGGTTGCCTACACATCCTAGTAATGCCAGGGTTACTTTCTACTAGATTGCCACAGATGAAGACAGCGGCATCCTCCTGTATAAGGGTGACAAGGACCATATCGCGGTAGAACTCTATCGGGGGCGTGTTCGTGCCAGCTACGACACCGGCTCCCACCCGGCTTCTGCCATTTACAGGTGAAGATCTCTCAGTTACGGGTAAAGGTGAAAACAAATTGCTTAATGAAGAACTGTGTCTCCTCGATTATTTTGTTATGGGGAGGAGAGAGACTAAGTTGGCTCCAGCAGGTCTTAGGATGAGGGTATTAGTGAGAAACCTGGCCGGCACGGAGGGCATGCTCAAACTGGAGAGTTTAAGGAGGGATTTGTAAGGGGGCTGCTATGTCCAAAGAGGTGACTGGGATAGTACACTAACCTGGAGCTGGAAACAAGGGATGCAGGGAGGTGTTGCTACCCATCCACCTGAAGGATCAAGAGGAGGGAGCAGTTATGGAAACTCACGCTCTGTAAAGGCTTTGTAGAGAGGTTTGCCTGCCAGAAGCTGGGACCTTTACTAGAGGTTTGCAGTAAGCTCCCACGGAAACAACCAGCTTTTGAAATACACAACCTCACTCTCTTTCCTCCCAACAATCTCCTGCCTGTGTTCCCCAGTGGCCACACTGCATGCCGGGAAAGAAGGAATCTATAGACTCTAGTAATGTAGCTTGCACATGAGCCTCCCAGGACTCAGAGTTGGGTAAAGAAAGTTGGAAGGGAGGTCCAGAGAATCAAATGAAGATATCCAGCACTGTGAGTGACATCAGGCTGCCATTCATACCTCACAGATTTATTGAGCGCTTACTATGTGCCGGACCTATCCCGAGCTTTAGGGAACAAAGCCCTGGCTCATTTGGAACTTACACAGATTAAGCAAATGGATTCATACAGTGTTGTCATAGGGAATCTTGACCATTCATTGTGGAAGTTTTCTAGTGATTAATGATATTAATAATATACTGGAGACGTGAAATGGGTGGTGGTCGTGGGGTATAGTTTTTAGTCCTTATTGCATAAGACTAACTATCAGAGCCCCTCTGTTGGAACCCAACACCAATTCCCTAACATCCTGCAGACTATTTAGCTAGTTAATTTTTTCACATGTAGAAATTCACCCTTTAGAGAAGGGGCCATGAACTCCTAAGTAGTCAGTTTTTCCAGATAAGTGTCATAAATGATTAAACAGGTCAAGTGCAAGAAAATAATATGCTCTCACCCTTTTATTCTGTAAAAGATCTAATTTTTTACATAAGTATTATTTTATTATAAATAGCCTTGATGTTGGCAATATAAAATAAGTGGTTGTGACTGGAATTAACCAATAGTAACTATTTGTCAAAACAGGATTGCATCTACTCAGTTCTTCGTGGGGAAAATATGGACTTAGGTTTTGCCAGACTCTTGGTTTTTCAGGAAAAAGGCAGAAATCTGGGGGGTTTTAATATAAATTTTCTCTCCTTTAGATATCCGTGTGCATTTTTAATACTATATATAATGAACAAAACATACCTGTAGGTCAAACACACTTGGTAACAAATGAATAGGCATTGATTATGACGTAAAGTGGAGACACTGGCCTGCATGTTATTGGTACTCTCATATGTATCAATGTGCTTCAAAAGACTTCACATCTTATTTGATGCTTCATAGTAGTTCTGGGAAAGTACACGCCGCTTGTAGCCATGGATGGAATTTGATATCCACCACTTGTGAATATTTGGAGCATGGAAACAAACACATAATTGTTGATTTCCAAGTTGAATACAATACTTATCTCCAAGTGGTGATGAATTAGTGCCAAGATTTTAGATGTTATGAGGCCTTAAATGTTCTTGCCTCAATGTGTTTCGGCCCATAGAAAGATTTCAGAAATTTGTGGTTCATTGTTTTATTTATCTTTTTATTTATTTTATGTAATGATGCAGCACAGAACTCTCAGAAGCCATAGTAAAGGTTTTTGGTTTGGCTTATTAAAGCTAGCATTCATATCACGTATGCCAAAATATTTCTAAATACTTTGTAGAAGCCCAAGTGATTACATCCAAACAAGGACCTACCATCACGAGTTTTTTTGAGTTTATGCTCATTGCCATTTCACCTAATAAAGAATGGAGTATATCTTATGACATTTATCAAAGGACTGTTATGTTGCATATTCTTTATTAGGAGCTGCAAGCCTATGTTTCTGCTAGCAGATCATCTAATAGAGATACAAAATGTGAGGCCTAGAGCAAATATAGCTTTAATTTAATTATTGCCTTTTGGCTTATGACCAAAAAATTTTCTTGATTTTCCAATCAAGAAAAACTATGACCTTATTTTTTAATAAGAGGCAATAATTATCAAGAATTCAGATATATAGATGTGTATATTTTATTAATATATTAAATATAGAATGTTATGTTTACATTAAGAAAATTAATATAAGAAAAAAGGAGGAAAGGAAGGAAGCAATGAAGAAAAAAGAAGGAAGACAGGAAGGAAATGTAAGGAAGAACAAGTATCAAGGGAGATAAATATGAGCACTTATAATTTCATGTATTTGCACAAAGAAAAACTAGACATAGACAAGAAGAAATAGAAACAAGACTTCTGCATGAATACCATTTTATATCCATTTGATTTTTGAGCCATTTCAATGTCATTACCACTCAAAAACCAAATTGAAATAATAGAAAAAAGCAGCTGCTCTGGAGATAGTCTGGCTTGATTCAAGTCTGGCTCTGTTATCAACTAACTATGTGTCTTAGATAGATTGCTTCAGCTCCCTGAGCCTCATCTGGCAAATGGGGATAACAAATAATAGTCTCCTTTTTGTGAGATTACGGTAAAAATTGTATGACATGATAAATGTAAAATATTTGCAATGATGTTTGGTAAACCATAAACAATGATGGCTACTGGTATCACAAATTCAGGATGTTCAAAACTGAGTTTATCTCATTTGCTTCACCCAAACCTGTGTTCCCATCACATTCCTTCTGGCATTGAAAGGCATCACAGGTGCAATGGATCTACTCTTAATCCTCTCTTTTCCTTTACCTTCAATTTGCAGTTTTTCCTAACTCTTAACTCTGATACGGCTAATTTTTTGACCTTTTTTCAAATGCCAGAAAATGCCAAGTAAGGTAACCTCTGTCCTGGGCCAGGCCTTTACTACAGTGTAAAATCTTTGATGAAAGATAGTACTTCTCCATCGCCTGTAGTAAAATCTATCAATAACAGTGTTGCAATCAGCTGTCCCATAAGCGGCTGATAAATATTTTGTCTGGGTGAAGTACATTTTCAAATTTTGATTTGTTTCCACTTAAGTTCAGTTTTATTGTCATAATTCTATGTTATATAAAATTTACTTTGGTAGAACATTGTTTTCTAAATTTTGCATTATTTAATATATTATTGGGTCTTGCACTTGGAAATAATTTTATACCTCAGGTGCATCTTTTTTTTTTTTTTTTTTTTTTTTTTTGAGACAGAGTCTCGCTTTGTCGCCCAGGCCGGAGTGCAGTGGCCGGATCTCAGCTCACTGCAAGCTCTGCCTCCCGGGTTCACGCCATTCTCCTGCCTCAGCCTCCCAAGTAGCTAGGAGTACAGGCGCCCGCCACCTCGCCCGGCTAGTTTTTTGTGGTTTTTTTAGTAGAGACAGGGTTTCATCGTGTTAGCCAGGATGGTCTCGATCTCCTGACCTCATGATCCGCCCGTCTCGGCCTCCCAAAGTGCTGGGATTACAGGCTTGAGCCACCGCGCCCGGCCTGGTGCATCATTTCAATTGCCTGGTTAATTCTCCACATTGAAGAAAATGGATTTTATTTTAGCAAAATGAAATCTGATAAAATGAGGGGAAAGTAATAATATATTGTTATTATTTCTATAGGATATTTTTGGTTAAAAAATTATTTTATATGTCAACTATTGTTTCACATAAATCAGTATGAAGACTATTATTTTATGAAATTATGTCTAGACTGGTCATTTGTTGCCCTTCAAAAAGACTTTCTTTTAATCTAGATAAGGGGAAACATTTTTTACAAAAGTTATTAATAAAAAATATGTGCTTCTTTCTTTAAATTCAAACTAATGTCATTTCCCAAACCAGACAGCCTCTTTGAAAACACAGCCAACTATGTTCAAAGTTAAAAGACACTAGTTAACATAGCTTGAAGTGTGTTTAAGAAAACTCAAGATGTAGTAATTATTCTTTTAGCAGTAGAAATAGAGTAGTATGCACATTTTCTCATCTTATCTCTTACATCCGAATAGAAGATCATGGCTTCTTGTAGACATACCTGCTGTTAACAGCATCAAGCATACAGGCAGTAGTGTAGAATGGTTGTTTTCAAAAGTCTGCGTTGGAATCACCTGAAAGATATGTTAAAATACAGGTTGTTGGGCACCACTCCTAGTTTCTGATTCTGTAGGTCTTAGCTAGGCCCAAAATTTTGCATTTTTAACAAGTTTACAGGAGATCTTGTACTCCAGGGACTACACTTTGAGAACCCCTTGTGTAAAAGGAATACATACTTTGCGAGCTGATTGTCTGCATCTCTTCCCATATCCAAGTTCTACAACATCACGCTTGATGCTCACAATGAAATCAGCCATGTTGGGAGTATTCCCACCACAAAAATCAGCAAAGCCTACAAATCCGGGTTTCTGTTCTTGTTTTTTTTTTTTTTTTTTTAACAGTACCAGCTGTTAAACATTTGCCAACAACCTACTGCCTAAAGGGCTGTAACCAGCAACATAGATGAAATTAGCTGCCTAACAAGGGAATGGATTTGGAGTATGGCGCATGGGCCTAATCTTTAGAGCACTTAGAGAATAGCATAAAGAGGGACTTAGTGATTGTATTAGTCCATTTTCACACTGATGATAAAGACATACCCAAGACTGGGTAATTTATAAAGAAAAAGAGGTTTGATAGACTCACAGTTTCACATGGCTAGGGAGGCCTCACGATCATAGCCAAAGGTGAAAGGAATGGCTTACATGTCTTACATGGTGGCAAACAAGAGAGAATTGAGAACAAAGCAAAAGGGGAAAACTCCAATAAAACCATCACATCTCATGAGACTCACTACCATGATAGCGGTATGGGGAAAACCACCCCCATAATTCACTTATATCCCACTGGGTCCCTC